GTCTGGTGCCGATTTAAAGCGAATGTCTAATGATTGGTTAAAGGCGCTTGTGTGAAAAACCGACACACTGTATCTGTGTTCATAGCGTAAGGAATTTCGATACCGAAAATGTAGACGGGTGTGTGAAATTGTTTTCATATAAATAATATTTTAGAGTACTTAAATTTTGCTAGCCTGTATACGCTCGGTGAATGCGCCTTTGATTTGGCACTCAAATTTCATTCTCAACTCCTTGTGGAGTATCTACCAATCTTACATTAGGTTGGTTTGTCGTCATTTCGCGCATAACTTTCACCGATAGGGACAGGTCTTCTTGGTTAGACATCAAATCAGAATTCCGTAGTTGAACAAGCAGTGATTGGATGATTTTGTGTTGGATATTTTTTATTTTTTTTTAAGCTTATATAAATCCAGTAATTAAAACTGACCATATTTTAAAATATTTAGTGATGTCTTTTTAACAAGGTGACTTATGTTGAATGTGACTACAGGTACGTTGAAGCGGTTGACATTTTGTGCGGAACTGTAATTGGTGTGTGTAGCTTCCTGTGCTCGGACAAGGAGCTGGCTGAGGTAGTCATCCATGTTTATTGATGTTTTAAGGCCAGACTATGCACACATGTACATGTTATAAATGTTGATATATATAAATATATATAAATGTTGCCTTACTATAGAAATCAATGGAAATATTTGGCTCTGCATAACCTCTTGCAGGTTACCGAAAGGGTGGTGGCGGACTTTTGAAGCCAATTAACTCTCTTGTCTCGGGATGACGTCATATCCGGAATGTCCGCGGTTATGTAGATATAGTAGTGCATGCATCCAGACGTGGGTGCTGCACAACAAGCATCATGGTATCAGCTCATCCCCAGATTACAGCGAGGGGTAAATGTCACGCGGGCTAATGAGCCCCTAAGGTGAGATATGTACCGTCATGGCAGGCTGTTTTGCGCGTCATACTCCCTCATTAGCTAGATTCACCGTTAGTAATTATTATATTATTACGTCTTGGCGTTCTACGAAATCGGTGAATTGAGTATGCAATTAAGGTAGGACAGCTACCCACTGCTCGAAATTCATGCAAAGGAAATGTGTGTGTGTGTGTGTGTGTGCGTGCGTGTGCGAGAGTGTGTGCGAGCATGTGTGTGTGTGTATTTGTGTGATTGCATGTGTATCTATGAGTGTGTGTGTATATCTATGTATGCGTGTGCGGGCATGCGCATCTGACTTCAATCTGACTGCGGCGTTACCCAACATGCACTCGATACATGCACTCGATCATCATCCATTAGGTTTTGTTAGCATTTTTCACAAATGAAATCATTCGTAACTACTCGTCCCTTTCCATGACCTGAAAGTAGACTCGTACCCCTCTCGAAGCCATGTCCGAGAGAAATATTCCCCCAGCCAATCAGAATGCGCGTATGTAGAGAAGAAATTGGGTCAATATAGGTCTTTAAAATATTTTTCATTTCGACTTGCATAATTTTCCCCAGACACTTCAAGTATATTCTAATTATTGCATAGTCCTCCTGGGTTTCCTGAATTTTTATAACGAGGATATTTTAACATTATGGCGTAGGAAAGTATTTAAGCATGTTAACAATACCCTTTGAGGTAATTCCCTTGGCGTGGATGCAAGTAAACTAGAGTTACATACCCTTGAAATGAGTTCGGCGACTAGACTATTTCTCTCTCTCTGCGATTTTGCGCTCAGACAGAGCCACGTTCAATAAAAAGGCTACTAGAGGGGTACGAGTCTACTGTCAGGTTACGGAAAGGGACGAGTAGTTACGAATGAATTGAAATTTAAACGGGGACGTTGAATCACACAACTTTTTCACTAACTCAATTATTTCAAGATAGGTGGCGCCAGAAACAGACTACATTTTAGCATATCGAGAACACAAAAACAATTTATTACCGATATTTCGTTTTGCTTTAACATAAATATTTACATACGTGAAAAATTTAAGAAAATATATTCTCCCTACATTATATAAGGTACAAACCTACGGATGATATTCACATTCCCTGTGATTACATTATTTACACTGACTTAAATTACGTGGTTTACTTCAGAATGTGCCTCAAAGTTTCAGGATGAGGAATAGAAAACTAAATCTTGCATAATTCAGCTCTCTTGTGTATTGGAAGTTGGCGTCTCGTTTCCAGTGAGTCTTTTTCTTGGAACTAAGATGTTGCGTGCAATTCTTCTATACGTCAGTAATTATTTATATCAGTTGAATTGGCATTGTAAATAGGCATTTGAACTGAAATGTACTCTTCTTTATTCCAACCGAAAGAGGATATGTTTGAAAACACGTTCATTATCTAGACATCAGTATACTACCATGCGTCTATTTAAACATCTGTGAAACGATAGGAATACTCTTTTGAAACAGATGCCTGTACATTTCACTAGAGACACAGACGTTTTCAGTGTGGTATCGAGAGCTAACAAAGATATTCAGATAGTAATGTGAGACCCAGTGATATCATGTTGAAGATTTCCGTTCATGAAGAGGTGGCTTGATACTATAAAATACACTTTTATAGACATCAACAAGTTAGGTAGTCTGTAATTCAGACCCTGAAACATATATACCCAAGGGGAAGGGGTGTGTGTGTGTGGGTGGGGTTGTGGTGTCTCCTCGGAACTCGTTTACACTACAAAGCTGTCCTCTGCCTTTCCCAGCAGTCTGATTTCTAAACCTCTAAGGCATTCACAAACCAAGATCTGGTCTGAAGCATACAATCTACAGCTGATAATTGCTGAGGGAAAAATAAGGGGATCACATGAAAGCACAAGTGTTCCCTTGTTTGTTTCCAGGTTTCTTCACAAGCTATGCGATACAAAGCTTGTGAAGAAACCTTGGAAAAAATACAGGAACACTTGTCCTTTCGTGAGATCCCTTATTTCTTTCCCTCAGTATAGTTGATTGATCCGCCCTATCGAGGCAACCACCTGCCTGATGTAGGGACATGTCTTGGAAACAGTTTCTCTCGGACGACATCCAATGTAATACATCTTTGGTGGTCTTCACGAACAACGCAGATCAATGTTGCTATGATTAAGCAGCAGTTTCCCTTAACCATAGCTTTAACATCACACTTCACCCTAACCCCTTCCCTTAACCCAACATCTGACATCAACCTTTCCCTTAATCCTACATATATAATCTACCGCCTCCATGATGTAGTGGATAGAGCGTCCGCCCGGAGAGCGGAAGGTCGCGGGTTCGATCTCCGACTGCGTCATACCAAAAGACGTTAAAATATGGTACTTGTTGGTCCCTGCCTGACGCTCGGCATTAATCGGTACATAAAGGACTGGTCGGCTCGGAGTCAGTATAATGTGTCTGAGTGGGGTATTCATGCTTCACTGCGGCATGGTATCTCAGTGGGCTAGCACTATAAAACAAGCTTAAGTCTGGGCTAGTACAAGCAGCCGCACATACACATACACACGCATGCACGTCGTCATATGAGCGAAATATTCTCAAGCACGACGTTAAATCCAATTCCACCACCACCACCACCACATATAATCTAACATCTTAACCCTTGTCTCTTGATCTTAACCCAAACACTAACCCTTGTGTTACACTTATCCCACGTGTGGCCACAAACCCTAACCTGCACCCTACCCTAGCTCTAGTGAGTGAGTGAGTTGGGTTTTAACGCCGCTTTTAGCAATATTCCAGCAATATCACAACGGGGACACCAGATATGGCTTCACACATTGTACCCATGGGAATCGAAGCCGGGTCTTCGGCATGACGAGTGAGCGCTTTAACCACTCGGCTACCCCACCGCCCCACCCTAGCACTAACCAGTCCTTTCTCCTAAATTACCCAAATAATTAATCCTAATCTTTGCCCTAACCTAAACCATAACCATGTTACTACCCTTACACATCAACCCTAATCTTTCCCTGTCCTATTCCCGTACAAGTCTCTTCAGTCAATCATTTTCCCCACCATCTTCACAACTTTGGAAAATCTCCCCTTATATGTCAGAGAATCAGTTTCCCTTAAAAGTGTTAAATAGCATATAAGCTCGCGTAAGTCAAAAGCACCAGGGTATTTCTCACTTGGTAATAGCAAACTCAATGTAATTCATACCCAGCTAAGATATTTAAATATACAGTATATATAGGAGATTAAATGATGATTGGTCTCATAGAGAACCCTGAATGTAATTGTTAATTTACCTGTGAAAATTCTCATCATTATTTTATGGAATGTTCTTTGTATTCTAATATCAGACAGGAAATGTTTCAATATCAAAGCAGAATTTGTAACATTAGAGCACCAACAAACCTAGAGGCACTATTATATGGCAGTGCAGATCTTCCGTACAGTGACAACATTCACATTTTTAAAGAAGTTCAAAAATTTATTAAATTCCAAAAGGTTCAGTAATTGGATATAATGTTTATGATCTAAATAATTCATGTATTCAATGTATTACTTTATTTTAAATGTCTTATACCCAATTTTTGTATATATCTTTTAAATCATCCCTGTACATATAGTTTGTTTCACGTTTGCATGTAAGCACTGTAAATAGAGAGGGTTTCAATAAGTTGGAATAACTTGAAATAAGATTGCCAATCCATTCTCTTGAATGAATATGTTTAAAAGTTGTTTAACAAATCAAACCCTAACATTACTCCAAAACCTAACTTGAAACCTAATCTAACAAATGGGCTGATTATTTAACCCGATTCGCTCGAAATCGTTAACCCTTGTTATGATCTACAAATAATGTTAGCCCAATCGTTTGTTAAACAACTTTTATTTAAGTCGAATAAAATTTGACCTTTAAATGTTCAATTATCCTAAATCATGAGGATTCGCAGTCTTAATTTAACTTTATTTGCTTTACCTTTTGGTTTAATCTGACATTCATCGGTAAGTTTTCACTGCAAACAGACTATAAAATTGAAGCAAAACAAACTAATCCATCAAATAGGCTCAGTCTGTACTTACACGAGTCTCCAGATCCCACGGAGTATTCCGGGCATGTTGCAACTATCACCTTGTTTTCTGGTCGGTGGAAGTTTTCAATGTACCCTGAAACAAAACATGAAATGTTTAATTTTATGAAACAACCGTCAGAATTCTGAAATTGTTAGCTTGCCTTCAGATCACCCTTCGATAGGTAATAGATCATTTGTGCAAAACTACATAACCTAATAACCGTCCATTTTCGCTCCAATGATGCATAAGCGGTTACATCATCCGGTCTTGTATATTCTAATGGCATATGGATGCAGTATTCGCGCATTCTGTTGAGGTGGTTCTGTGATTAGTGGCGAGTGTTCTCTTGTTTGGCCTTGCTGCTGAGGCGAGCCAGTCTGGATGAGGAGGAAGAGGTCAGTTTTGCAGGTTACGGTAACATTTGTCTGTGCTCGTCGTGTTTTGCAGTCGTGTTGAAAAGGCAGGATGAGTGTTGTAGCCTGAAGCTAGTTTGATTGGGAAAATATCAAGCGCATTCGCTGCCAAAATAGATTTCATAGACTGAACCCAGTAGAGGATACTCCATTTTGTGATTATTCCATCGATCGATTGACTGTTTGGTTGGCTGGTTGATTGATTGATTGGTTGTTGTTTGGCTGAATGAATGAACGAATGAATGGATGGACGAATGAATGAATGAACGAATGAATGAATGAATGAATGAATGAATGAATGAATGACTGAACGAATGAATGAATGAACGAATGAATGAATGGAAACGAATGAATGAATGGACGAATGAATGAATGAGCAAGTTAGTTTAATGCCGAGTTTTGCATTTTCCCCGCAGATATGAGTGAGTGAGTTTAGTTTTACGCCGCTTTTAGCAATATTCCAGCAATATCACGGCGGGGACACCGGGCTGGGCTTCACATTGTACCCATGTGGGGAATAGAACCCGGGTCTTCGGCGTGACGAGCGAACGCTTTAACCACTAGGCTACCCCACCGTCCCCTGCGGAGATGAGGGTGAGGGGAGTGTAGGAATGGGTTCTACATATTGCAGCAATCATAGTGAAATTAATTGGAATATTGATTGAGTACTTCAGCATTTCTCCAGCAATATCACGACGGGGAAGACCAACAATTGGCTTCACACAGTCCACCCATCATGTAGTACAGCAAGACGCTGTGGTTTGACGGACATTAGACCGCCTCCGCGGTGTAGTGGTTAGAGCGTCAGCCCGGAGACCGGAAAGTCGCGGGTTCGATCCCCGACTGCGTCATACCAAAAGACATTAAAATATGGTACTTGTTGGTCCCTGCCTGGCGCTCGGCATTAATTGGCACAACAAGGACTGGTCGGCTCGGAGTCAGTATAATGTGTCTGAGTGGGGTATTCATGCTTCACTGCGGCATGGTATCTCAGTGGGCTAGCACTATAAAACCAGCTTCAGTCTGGGCTAGTACAAGCAGCCGCACATACACATACACACGCATGCACGTCGTCATATGAGCGAAATATTCTCAAGCACGACGTTAAACCCAATTTCACCTCACCTCACCTGACGGACATTACGCGTGTTAGGAACGACATGAGATACAATCAAGATGGGGAACCCTACTTGGTACACTATTAATGTCAGAACAATCCCTGACTAAAGTATAAAGAACTCCTTGACTGCAGTCGTTTAATGATAAATGTCGCAAGAAGTGCTTTGGCATTCTTAATGTAGTTTGACTGGAGGTATTTTTATGAGTTAAGGCGGTAAAGGTATGCTGTACGTACTTGGCGTATTTGTACCACATCAATTGATGATGATGGTGATGAAAACGACAACGCTACGACGACGATAATAATGACGATGATGATGGTGACTAGGTTGTTGTTGATGCTGATGACGACGTTGATGTTGAAGATGTTGTTGATCATGGTGACGTTGATGATGATGTTGATGACGTTGATGATGATGACGATGGTGACGTTGATGATGATATTAATGATGATGATAACATTGATGATGATGGCGTTGATGGTGATGATGACGATGACGACGATGACGATTTTGCAAACTGGTATAACTGACGTGAGGTGGAGGGATCACACTTGTAACCTAATTTCGTGTGTGTTTACCTTCAAACCAACCAGTTTATCTAGTAATTAATTCATATTTATCATTGCCAAAACGATTTCTAACTGGCCCTCAAGGCAAAGAAAGACGTTGTGTTTTAATGTGGTGTTATATCGACTGCATCAACCCTTAACACAAGGAGGACGTTGAAAGCATCTGTGATTACCTGCACGTAAGTGGTCGTGTACATCATCATCTGTTAGTCTGAGATACACAGCCTGGTTTGTAAACCTTTCAGGCGTGGGTACATCAGCGACAAGTCAGCAATGCTATTTACTAGAAGCTATCAAGAACAGACTCTTGCTATACCACAGTATATAGCCCTCTTATAACCCAGCTGGGGTCTCGTGTCCAATGAGATATCGCCGGATCTCGCGGACTGCGGTAAAAAGGCGATGTCAGCACATTCTTTGTACATTCATGCAGACCAAAATATTTAGCTGTGCTATATAATTTGGTGATTCCTCAACTGGCCTTCGGAGTTCAGGTTTATATTGGGTGTTTCTCACCGTTTTTTATCACCATTCTTAAATAACCCTAGCTTTTATATAGGAAAAATATATTGAAGAAAGGGACAACTTGGCTAGACAAGCTACAAGTCTAGATCTATAAGATTATGATTAATAAATTTAGTTTCAATGATAATTTCTATAAAATATAAATAAAAGGAACATATTGTGTCCCTAAGAGACTGATACTGTCCGCTTATCTAGACTTGGCTCTTTATAGAATAGAGTTACTTAACATCCATTCGCGTTATGGGCATTCTGTGCAGTCATGGAGCAACGCTACAACCTGGCCTTCAGTTTGTCTTGTTATAGTTCCTTGTTTTAAGACCCGTGAAGGCCCAGGTTAGAATATTGATCTTCAGTAAACCATGCTTTGTTTTAAGAGGCGACTAACGGGATCGGGTGGTCAGGCTCGCTGACTTGGTTGACACACGTCATCGGTTCCCAATTGCGCAGATCGATGCTCATGATGTTGATCACTGGATTGTCTGGTCCAGACTCGATTATTTACAGACCGCCGCCATATAGCTGGAATATTGCCGAGTGCGTCGTAAAACTAAACTCACTTCCTCACTCCTTGTTGTAATATGTAACCGAGAGCAGTTACAAGAAAATGTTTTTAGAATGTAAAACTTTCAGCGATTCCCTGCTAACCTTCAGTTGATCTGGTCAATGACAATTCGTCTTGTCAAGGGCCAGCGACACTTCTCCGAGTTCACGACTATAGAACAAATGTTTCGGCGATGGTAAAGAACTGCTACATCAGCTCTGATTGCCCCAGTTAGAGGATGCTGTATGAAACAAATCGTCTCTCAGTTAACATTTCTGGTTTATATGGAATCCGAGAAGGGACACTGTCGCTATGTCGCATTGTCGCCCTCTCAAAACAAGTAAAGTGAGGCAAAATAAACCAACATGCGACACGCGACATCGCGATAACGCGACATTTCGCCCATTTGTCGCATTGTCGCGTTTTGAATAATATTTTCTATTCCTCCAAAGGGCGAGAATGCGACAACGCGACAATATCCCTTCAAGGATTCCATAGGTTTAAGGGTGTGGTAAATCCCATTCTGTAGCCCTTAGTATAGAGGGTACGCGATCAGTCATAAGGCGCGAACACCTGGTAATTCAATAACGGATAGACTCTTGACATGTATGTAGACGTTAGACCTTAGATGTCGCCTTTGACTTTGTGCTGCAATACTTTAGTTGTCAGCCATTCTAGTGTGCCCCTCGTAATCGAACCATTTTACATTACGTCACAATGTAAGCGACGTCACGACGAAGGCCCGGGTTCGATTCCCAAAATGGGTACACTGCGTGCAGCCACTGACTGGTGTATTGCTGAAAGCGGCGTAAAACCATATTCACTCACTCATCCTGCGCATAACACAAGTGCTAGGGGACCTAGGCGTGTCTTTACACACGTATAGACTTGTAACGTTGAAGTAGTTGTTGAAAATACCTGACGTGTGGGTCGGTACGAAGGCGTTACCCAGCAACGGAAATATACATAAGACGTGCTATCATCAGTGGTATCACATAAACTCAATATAAACTAAATAAACTAAACCTCCTCCGTAAAGACAGCTTGTCTCTCATAGGATTCATTCCATACGCAGCTTGGACGAACGAATGGATAGTTACGATACACATGGACACGTCTTGCAAGTAAAATATAAGAATATATAAATTAAGAATTTATGCATATTCAGTTTTCTGTTTCCAGGTTTTAAGTGAACATTTGCTATTTGCATATCAAATTTCAAATTTAAGTTTTTTTTAAATTTCTAAATACGCTCTCCACGTTTTTCAGATTCGTATTTCCAAAATACATTGCCACGCTTACTTTAAACAACTTTTGGGCGTCAACACCATATATGCCTCAAAGTGCTATCAGACTGAGTATTTGATATTGCCTACTGGACTTGAGAGTAGGCCTACATTAAAGAAATTATTCTTTTCCGGGGATTTTCAAACGTAGATTCAATACAAGCCAGCGAAACGGAATGCTGGATTCTAAAACGTTTTAGCGGAAGGAATGTCTTACTTCAGTGAGTTGAACCCGCCTACGTTGGCCGAGGAGTTGAGATTTTGTTGTTGTGTTTTAAACTTACGCCGCTTTCAGGGATGACATTGTGGATGTGTACTTCAGATCGTATACTGGTGTAATTGGATCAGTATGTATTACGATAACGCGTGAGTGAGTTTAGTTTTACGCCGCTGTTAGCAACATCCCAGCAATATCATGGCGGGGGACACCAGAAATGGGCTTCACACATTGTTCCCATGTGGGGAATCGAACCCGGGTCTAGGCGTGACGTTAATCTATGTTACAAATGCCACTGACAGTAAGTTGTAACATGGAATGATGTAGTATTGTTCCTCCCTAAATCTGTCTTTTTACTTGGAAAACAGAAGTAATGATGGCTCTTTCCATTGTTCGATGATGCCGTGCATACCCAGGCAAC